GTGCCCACCCATTCTTCATGATGTTCTCCAACTCTATGTTCGGTTAATTCAACATGAGTATTCATCTCTCAAAGGATTTTGTGACGGTAACATCTTCCTTGCGAATTTTGAACACTCAATCAGACTAACCAAAAACTACCCTGCCCCAGGTTAAAATTCAAGGTTTTTTCGTATAGAAAAGAAACTTCTGCTTCAAAGGCTCAAAAGGGGTTAGCAAGGGATTATCCTCCTTATATCTCCGGTGTTTAGGGATTTGAAAAAATGCCTGTACATCATCAACAAGATTTTTTTTTTTTTTTTCAAAAGCATGCAACCAAAGATTTTGTGTTCTTTAGATCATCATCCCCCCTTCAATCTCTGCCTAGGCAAGAGAATGGGCAACATGTTGGTATCATAATGCAAAAGGAAATTTAAAATTTGAAAGCAAATATGAGTGAAACGAATGAATTTCTTCAAGACAACCATACTCATTGTATTAAAATGATCATTCAGACGCAAACAAGTTCTTACATGCAAACAATGTTTCGATAAATAGAAAAGCTACAAAAGCAGAAACAAGTTAATAATCTGGGAAGGCTTTCCACTTGAACTACCGAAAATATCTTCAAAAACTCAAAGTCACCCTCAATCGTGTTTACTCTTCGGCGCCTGTTTGATTTGAACTTCAAAACCAACGTCCTTGAATGACAAGATACCACTTCTGACCAACTTCTGAACCTCAATCTTCAAAGCAACGCAACCTTCCAAGTCATGCCCAGGAGCACCTTGATGAAAAGTGCAAGCCAAATCAGCTTTGTAGTTCCAATGTATCTTCTTAGGGACCTTCGGTGGAGGTCGGGTCTGAACCAAATTCCTCTGCATCAGGATAGGGAACAACTCTGTATAGGTGATTGGAATTGAATCAAACTGGGTTTTCCTCTGATTAGGAACTTGCTGATTCTGTTGATGAACATGATGATTCTGATGATGATCATTTCTTCCTCTGGTTCTCTTCTTGGAAAAGTCATTATCAAACCTCTTCACACCATTAGCCGCGCTACCCACTTCATATAAACATCCCTTTCCGACATCTTCTTCTAGACGCACTCCGACATTCACCTTGTCAGGAAAGTCATCAGGTGCATTAACCGTCACCTTTTCATGAGAAAAAGATTTTAGAGTCTCCGTGAAAACTTTTAACATCGCTTCCTCCCTCCTAGAAGGCTTGACTTGGGCGGAGATCAGAATTTCAACCAAACCAGTTAAGTGATCCAAACCAGCTTTCAGAATAGTCACCTCTCTGCGGAGTTCAGAAAACTCTTGCTTGATATTCTCCATTGTTCTCTTAGCGTCGGTGTTGTACTGGTGAGACCGAAGGAAAAATGAGACTCAGAAAAAGACTTTTGAAAGTGAAACAAAGAAAATGCAGAATGATGTATGATATGCAAAAGGGAATTTTATTTGACTTTCAAAGAACTCAAGATGTTAAGTTGTAAACATCCAAATATGAAGATAGAAGATGAATTTTAAATTGGCTTCAAACATTGATCAAGTTATCGTCAAGATCAATCATCCATTTTGGTGGATTAGGGTTTTCGCCCTATCGACACCCAAGATCCATTGAGTTTGACGAAACTTGTGATGTTTACAAAGAAAGACCTCAAAATTCCTTCGAAGTCCAGCGAAAAGAGTTTTATGGATGCATGAATGCATGGCTATGCGACAACCACAAGCAAGGTCACAAATAAAGTTGAAAGGTTGTACGTCACGGGCATGGAGTCAAGGGTAAAAACATCCCCAAGGTATGTACTAAGGGTTTAATCACACTTGTAGAACAAGGTTCTAAGAGTTCCCAGAGTCTACATTCCTCCTTCGGATATTACCAACGTCTTGATTACTCAATAATTAGCAATATTCTCAAGAGAAACTCGTCCGAGCGTAGCATCGCGTAACAACTACTTCCGAATTACTCCGTTATAGTCTCCGCGCTACACCTAAAAAGGCCAAGATGGGTTAGGGTTCTACGGTTCTCAACTTCTCGGGCTCCTAGGTCGAAAATAATAATGTCTTCCCGATTACTCGGTAAACAAATATTAAGTTCAAGAGGGCCTTCCATTGAGTGGGGGATCTCATGCCTCCTTCTTCGGGATTACTCCCTCAAAGTTAACATGACTATACCGCCCGTCCTATTCCTTAAGTGTTACTTAATCCGGGTATAGGATTCGTCCTTTGTGAAAAAGCCCAAACACCCAAAATTTAAACACGTAATCAAATAATAGTAAAACAGATAAACCAAGTTAGGCTTAACCCACTTAGGGATGGACCAGCAAGAGGTCAATCTCTCCCCAGCAGAGTCGCCAATTCTGTAGCGATAAAAAATGTAGCGGGGTAAATCGGAGATCGAATTATTGACTAATTCGTCTCACAAAAGCAAGAGTCGCCACCGCGCTTTATTGTTTCCAAAGGAAAAGGGAAAAGAGCGAAATAAAACCCTAAATATGCAATGTAAATAATAATAAAATACAAAGCGTTTTTGAAAAGAGATCTTATGGTTCGGGGGTTGGTTATACAATGGGAAGGTATTAGCACCCAATGCATCTATAGTACTCTATAGGAACCTTTTGAAATATCTGTTTTATTTAAAATTGATTGCTTGATTGAAAATAAATCGTTTTGGCCGAAAAGGGATACGGACGAGTTTTTTTGAAGATACGACGACCTAACGTCGAAGTTTTTGCTTAAAAGGGATAAGTCTTGAAAAGGTTGAAATTTTGAAGAAAAGTGAATTTTTGAGGAAAATTAACCTAAGTTTTTAATGAATGAGAGTATTCGCTCGATCATTTTTTGAAGACATGAAGTCAACAAAAATTAGACAATTCCCTTTGGATTGGTGCAAACAGAATAAACAAGTACAATGAAATAATTGACAGAAAATGATACACAACAATTAAATGTGAACATGCATTTTTTATATGATTTTTGTTTAATATATGAAGAGAAAAAAAAATGTTTTAATTGGTTACTCATTTTAACATAGATAAAAAAATAACGAAAATTAATAGAAATGTTTTTTAAGGTTTTTATATATTTCTATTTTTTATGTCTTTATTATATAAATAAAAAGTATTACTTTTAAGAATTCTTTAAATTAAATTAAAACTTAATGCTACTAACTTAAGTCTAATTTAAAAAATTCTAAGATTATTAAATTAAATCCTAAGAGTTTAAATTAATAAAATTAGTCAAATATTAAAAAAATGTTTTAAGCTACATCTCTTATTTTGATTTACTAAATTAAAACTTAAACTAATAAGATTTGGACAAAATATTAAAAATTATTTAATTAAAACTATATGTTATTCCTAAGGAACTAATTAGTCTAGATTAATTAAGTTAAGAAATGAATAGAACTTTAACTAAAACCAAATAAAAGATGGGGGGTGGATTAGCAAATAGGAATGGGCTTTTAGTTAAAAGGGAAATTGAGTTGGGTTGAAGGGAAAGTGGAGCGGTTGGGAGGACCCAGGAACACAAATGCTGTAGCGACAAAGCCCTTGGAACGCTGTACCGTGGACGCCGCCGCCGCTGGATCGCGTCTCTCTTCTCGTTCCGATTTCCTTCACGACCCACTTCATCATCAAAGCTTGGTCTCCTTCACGGTTGACTTTTCAATCTTATCGTTTTTGTTCCTGAGCTAATTCTGCATTCTTGACAAGTATACCTCCAATCGCAGGTTGTGCTGTTTCCAGGCATCAGGAACATATTTCAAACAACAAATCCAAATTTTCCATCCTCATGGTCTGATATTGAAGTAGTCGCTGAACTCTTTGAAGAGCTAGTTTCCAAGCTGTCTCATCGTTCCTTTTATTGATCGGTGGCAGCGTCATGGAGATTGGTCGATGAGATAGCGATTGGAGGATGGTTCGGTTGAGTGTCGAGGTGGGGCGGTGCTCGTGGTCTGAGTTGTTACGGTTCGGAGGAGTGATCGCTTTGGCGGTGCCGACTCCTTTCATCTCTTTGTTTTGTGGATTCTCCATCCTCATTTCTTCAATGTACAGAATGCAAAATAATGTGAGTTCTATGGATTCTTCACCCTCCTGTCATTAAATTTTTAAATCAAATTGCAACCTTGTAAGGATTTTAGCTTGAAATGATTTTCGTTACAAGACAAGTAATCAAGATTTAGTCTTTTTTGGGGTCTCCGAGTTTGATTGTTCAGCTTTCCTCTTGATTCCCAGAAAGTGTTCAACCTTCCGATCACCGAGCATAGGTGTCAAGCCTCCAGGAAGATCCTTCTCAACTGTAGCAAAACCACTTTTTGGGTCACTAGTTTGTCCTGGTTTAACATGACTGCTGAGAACAAGATAAGGTGTCTTCATACGAGCTTGAGCTTCTTGGATAAGGTGATGTTCTACTACTATCCTGTGACACGGACCTGTCTTTTCTCTCCTTAGGCATTTACAGGTTCTAGAGTGAATTAAGTGAACTAGAAGCGAAAATGAAAGGAAATCGTGAGTTGTAAAGAGCGTTTGTAAAAGTGTATTAACTTGATACCGTATTAATTACAGGAAAGCAATGAAGATCCTTGAGGAAAACGGTGCGATTTGTGATCGTGGTAATTGCAGAGAGAAGGTAAAAATTGATGGAGGTAAAGAAAGGAAGCGAAGAGGAAGCTACACGAAGAGGAAGAGGAAAACGACCTGTCAGCACAGTTAGTTGTTATTTGTTTTTATTGTTTTTTTTTTAAAATCTCAATTACTATGAATGTGTCCTTGTCTTGTTTACAAATAATGTAAAGTACTAATAATAGATCAAAATTTCAATGTAAACTTCAAAATATTCAACAAAGGATTTAGGTGACAGCGTTGTGTCATTCCTTTTATGCATTTACAGTATTTCTTAATTGCACAATAAACAGAGAGATGTAAACTTGATCTCTTATTTGACTTGAAAATGTTAGCACACCAAGCATATTGACTATATGAAGTTGTGACGTGTACCGCAATATAAATGACAGATCTTTACTTTGTTTGCTGTGCTTTCTGTAGAGAATTCCTCAGTAAGGATATAACTTGAGCTGGCTCAGGGGCTCCAAACACTGAACTTCCAGCAACAATGCAATTCGCTCCTGCTGATGCAGCTGTGTCTATGGTTGAAGGCCCCAATCCACCATCAACCTCTATGTCAAGTAATGGATACTTCTTCCTCAGTATTTGAACCTTTTCCATCATCTCTGGCATGAATTTTTGTCCTCCAAATCCAGGCTCTGTAGTCATGACAAGAACCATTTCCATATCTATGTCTATAGGAAGGAGGATATCGTCGTATCAGATGCGGATTTAAGAGCGGCAGAAGAATTGAATGAAGATGATAGTAATGAACCGCGAAGTCCGAATGGGTAGTTGAAAAAGGTTTGCGAATTTTCTGTATTTTTTACAAGTTGGCTTTAAATTAACAGTATGTTATGATTGTGCCGGTTTTGCAATATTATGAATCTTGAATTTTATCAATCAAATTATTGTCTGTGTTAAAATAGGGATTTAATGTATTGATGATTAGCAATGATATTAAATAGCCGTTTTACATGATTTCAGGAAATTAAAGAGAGTATTATTAAGTGAGACAAGAAGCAACACAAAGATATAAAGGATTATGCGAAAAAACTGAAGAAACTCACATGGTCGGAGCTAGTCCGACGGTACAATTCCGGCGAAGTCAGGTAAGCTCCGAAGACTCTTCGCTCCTTGCTTTCTGCCACTAATTCTTCTCTTCTTCTCCGTCTGAAACTGGTTGGAAATATTGAATAAATGGTTTTTGTGGTTTATTCGGTTTTGGTCAGTATGCAGGTTATGGTCTATTGAATAAATGGTTTGAATGGGTTTTGATGTAGGTTTTATGTAGAGATATGCCATGGTTTTGATGGTAGCAGTGGGCTATGTTTTTTGATAGTTTTGTAGATTAAGACTTGCAAAAAATGGATTATGGTTTTGGATAGCAGTAACAGGTTATGTTGAAAAATGCTAAGGTTTTGAAATATGTGGCTTTTGAAATAAATGCAGGTTTATAAAAAATGCAGGTTTTAGCAATATGTAGTTTTATGAAAAAAATGCAGGTTTATGAAAATATGTAGGATTATGAAAATATGAATATGCAGGATGGTTATGCAATATGAATATGCAGGATGGTTATGTAATATGAATATGCAGGATGGTTATGTAATATGAATATGCAGGATGGTTATGTAATATGAATATGCAGGATGGTTATGTAATATGAATATGCAGGATGGTTTCTATCCTATGCAGAATGATTTTGCAGGTTAGGAAAATATGCAGAAAAATGATTTTGATGCAAGTTATGAAATATGCAGCAAACATGGTTATTGAATACGCAGGTTTTTAGAATGTGCATGTTTTGAATATGCAGAATGGTTTGAATATGCAGGATGGTTTAACAACATGCTAGAAAATGGTTTGATGCAGTATGCTGGTTTGCAAATGCTTAGAGATGGTTTTTTTTTTGGTAGGCTTGTATAGTATGCAGGTTATCTTCTGATGCAGTATGCAATGATGGTTATGGTGTGGAAGTGGAATATGTTATTTTGCTTGGCTTAGTTTTGCAGTGATGTTTTCTGGTGTAGTATGCAAGCTTAGACTTCCTTTTTTGAAGGCCTCTTTCATATAGCCGTTGCTTCTTTTCTTTTGTGGCTCAGGTTTGAGTATTTTATTATATTTCTGATGCTGCACATATGCTGCTACAAGGTTGACTTTATTCCCAATTCATGCTTAAGTCAGAACCTGCAAAATTGAACCCCTTCTCTCTCTCTCCCAAGTACAGAAAATGATATATATAAATGATATACTGTACATTTTTCTGAAATTGTAATGGCCAGAAAATGATGAAAAAAAAACGAATAGGTTGCTTGCATACATTGTTTAAAACTGCACATTGTTTGAAATTTCATATTGTTTTTTTGTCTTGCATTAGCCTATATTATTCTGCTATAAGGGTACAGGTTAACGTTACTTGTTGTGTACCTTGCATATGTTTGTTTTGAAATTATGTATGCTGTGTGTACTTATGCAGTTTTGACCAAAAAATGCATTTATGCATATGTGAAATATGCAGTAGGCTTTTGATAAAAATGCAAATGATTTTGAAAATGTGCTATTTTAAATTATGCATTCATTTAAAAATTCCTCTCTTTTTGTGAACCGGGAGAAATCCCGTGATTTGCAAAAAAGAGTAACTGATTCCGGCCATTGCTTTTAATGATGAACATTGAATTTATTTTCTGCATTTTAATTATTTATTCACTTTTGACTTTTCTTTTAATTGTTTTCGCAGGTAAAATTAAATAAGCGAACAAGAGCATTGGATTGAAGATTTAGAATTAGAATTTAGAAAAATAGCTTTTTATTTACTTTAAGCATTTATGTAATTGTCTTTATGAATATTTTGTAATAACACAACATTTAAATGACAATTGTAATAAATAGAATAAAGTGAATAAAAATTCTATTATTTCTCAATTAATTCTTTTTCTTTCCAATTATTTATTTATTGTTTATAATTCCTTAAATTATATAATGATTAAAAATCAAATCCAATCATTTAAATTTAAAATGATAAACAAATAAATAAACATCATTGATCAATTAATAACTTCAATTATTTATTTTATTATTATTTTTAATTCTTCTAAATTATAATAACTTGAAAAATAGAATTTCAGCTATTTAAATTTAGAACAATAAATAATCAAATAAACATTGCTTGATCAATTAATATTCTCATTTTCAAATGTTTATTTCATTATTCATAAACCTTCAAATTATATAATAACGAAAAACAGGTTCCCATTATTTAAATTTAAGATAATGAATAATTAATAAACATTATTTGACCCATTAATAAACCTTTTCTCAAATATTCTTTTTATTATTTATAAGTCTTTAAATTACGTAATAATCGAAAATAAATTCCAATTATTTGAATTTAAGATAATAAATAATTAATGAACATTGTTTAAGTCTTGATCAGTTAATAAATTTAGCGTTCAACAAATAAACAGCTTCTGACTCGAAAAAGTTGTGAATTTTTAAACTGTTTTGAAAATTTGATAAAAATAGGTCAAAACTCTTGCAATGCGAATAATGCGGATGGAAGACGGTATCTTAGGTCAAAATTTGGGGTACAACAGAATGGCGTCTGTGTCTGGAGCGTATCCAAGCTGTATCTGAATATTGAATCTGAACAAGCAAAAGAATAGCATCCGTGTCTGGAGCGTCTCTAAGCTGGGGAAAATCAGAGTAGGTGATAGAATGGCAGCCGTGTCTAGAGTGTATTTGGACTGTATCTTAGAAGTTTGATCTGAATGAGAAACAGAATGACTTCCATGTATGGAGTGTATCTGAAGTTGAGATCTGAATGAGTAGCAGAATGACTTCCGTGTCTGGAGTGTATCTGAACTGTATCTGGGATCTGAATAAGTGATAGAATGACTTCCGTGTCTGGAGTGTATCTGAACTTGAAATTGATAGTTGAATCTGAATAAGAAATAGAATGGCTTCCGTGTCTGGAGCGTATCTAATCTGTTTCTGAAATCTTTGAATATTGTTATTGATAGCTGTTAATCTTATCCTGAAAAGGGTAAAATGTTAGCTGAAACACAGAGTTATGTTGCATGAAATGTATGATGCAATAAATTTTTTTTATCAATGTTATTGATATATGGATGTAATGTATGCGCATGTAAGCTGATTAGCTGTATTGCTGAGGAAAATAAATCCTTAATAGCTGGGGATAATAAAATCCTTGACCGCTGTCGGGGAAAATAAATCCTTGACTGCTGCTGGAGATTCAAAATCTTTGATTGCTGAGAATGAGAAATCTTGGGCGACTGCTGTGGATTAAAATCCTGACAACTTCTATGGGGATATAGGATCCTTCATGTTTTGAAGTTGGAGTATTGAAAAAATCTGTTGTGAGAGTAATGCTAAACTGCTTGAGAAATCTGCTTGGAGAATCCAGATAACTTTGATGACTTCTACTGGGGGTTGAGTAATGGGAATCCTTATTCTGTTTGGAATAGGGGAAACTCTGATGATCTCTGCGGGGAATTAAGAATGTGAATCTTCATTTTGTTGAGGAGTAATGAAAACTTTGGTGACTTAACTGGGGAAATGGGAATGAGAATCTTCAATCTGCTGGGGAGTTTGAACCCTGTGGGGAAGAAGGCTTACTGTTGGAGAGTAAGTTCAGGAGTTTGGGTAGTCTGCCACTCTACTGGGGAGTTATCCTAGGTTGGGGATAAGACAAAAGTTAACTGTTATCTGATTGATTTCCAGGCTTCAAGATGACTTGCTGGGGAAATTGGATGGTTTCCGCTGAGGATAGATAGTTAGAAGTCTTGACTCGACTAGGGAAAAAGGTTTCATCTCCGCTGGGGATCTGTAACTCATAGTTTTTGCTCCGCTAGGGATTGGGAGTTTGAAGTTTTAACTCTGATGGGGATTAAGGGTTTTAAATTATAACTCCACTGGGGATCTGTATTTCAAGGTTTTAGCTCCGCTGGGGATCTAGATGATGTACTGTAAGGATTTCCCCTGGAGTAGCCTAAAGACGTTTTCCTATCCTTTCAGTCCGTCAGTAATTGTTCTTTTCCACTCGGTTTATTTGTAAACAGTAATTATGTTCAAATGCATATGTTCCTTAATGAATCATTGGACGTTTTTGCAAATAAAAACATAGGTGTAAAAGAAAAAAGGCAAATAGTTTTTTGTACTTTGAGAGAGACATCTTTGTATTTACTTTGAATAAGTATTTTGTATAAAGGAGACAGTCATCCTAGTAAGAGGATGGTGTCATAAAAATGAGAAACATTTATACAAAGAAAGATAGCTATGTGTGTAAAGATCCTGTGGGGTTCCCATTCTGCTATAGCCTTCGTAACTCCGAATATCTTGTCCATTCGTTGCTTCGTCCGAAGATGATTGAATTGATCAGAATCTTAGAGTTTATCAGTGAAGAGATTGTCTTTAAAGTGATCCGACGAGACATAGTCATACGCTTTAATTCCCTAACTTTTTCCTGGACCGCCCTTTTGGGTTTTCAGTCCACCGGGAAACCCTTTTTTGCCTAAGTCGCCCTTTCGGGTTTTCAACTTGCCGGGTGTACAGTTTTTTTTATTTATCCCTAATTTTTGCCTGAACCGCCCTTTCGGGTTTTAGATTCACCAGGATGCCCTTGTTTTGCCTAGGTGTGTCAACCTAGCGGGTCATTTATGCGTAGT